TATTCTGGTATGATATCGGAATTTACCAGACCTTCAATGAACCAAGAGGCATCCACACGATTAAGCTCACAAAGTTGTCCGCTTCATCGGTTACGAATAGAGAACCTGTTTCGTCCTGGGTGCTCTCGAGCCCCTCCTTGCAAAACCATAAAATATCGTAAATTCGATGTAAGCTTTTGAGTCAAAAGTTTAAATTGTTCCTGGGGAAGTTGAGGAAATCCTACGCAACCGGTAACAGTGAAAGGCACAATTTTCCACACCAGCTTCCGTAATTCCTTATCAAATCACATTGATCTTTATACTAAAGGGAGATATTGCACTCAAAGGAATATTATCTTGGTATCCGCGAAGAAAGAAACTTTCCCTTTCAATTTGTTACCCCCAAAAAGCAGACTTGTTATTAAAATTATTTTTATTATTCAATATTTAGTTTATAAAAAAAAAATCTAATTAAAATCATCTAATAAAACAAAATGTTCCACAGTGAAAACAAATTTAATTTTTCTTTTTTATGTTGGTTATAAAAAAAAAAAAACATACAAATTTCACTGCCCTTTTTCATTTGTTCACTCTCTAGCCGTCGGTCATTTAAAATATTTGAAATGTGCAAGACATTTTTTTTCAAACGACTAATTAAAAGTTTTAATTAAAAAGCTCAAATGCTTGACAATTCTGATATTTATTTAATCATTTATTTCTCCAATTGAAGGAAAAAAAGTAAAAATATATTTTTGTAAACTCAATCCCGATAATATTAAGTAACTGGAAATTAAATTAAAACGAAGCTAAAAGCTTTTTCAATAATTGAAAAAAGGTATATAAATATGATTAAAATTTATCGTTGATTGACCTACTCTGGTGTAAATTATAGATTTTTATTTATATATATACAATTAAATATAAAATTGACATTTGTCTTCTCGGTAAATCTTCGTTATAAAAGAAAAAAAAATCAGCAAGTAGTCTTTCAGCGGGAGTCTTTCGCACAAATCACAATTATCTATGGGATGCAATAGTCCCGAACTGTTTTCATGAAAGCTCACAATAGACAGTAGGGTGAAAAGCACAAAGCACTATTTAATTTGTTTCGAAGGGTGTTGCGCGCATTGGAGGCTCCCCATTAAGGCTTGAATGGCTCGTCCGATTTATGCGAGGTGAGATTATCTACAAGATAAAATGGGCGGTAGATAACCGCACGAGAATGCGAGTATAAGGGATGATGCGGGGAAGGGATTTCTCTACTAGAGACACTTTCGAATTTATAACCCATCGACCTACTTAGTTCTCTCAGCGTTTGTTTTGTGGGTGGTAAAAGAAAAACAAAAGCGAACGAAAGAGAGATATATCTCACACGAAGAAAACGAAACTTTTGTAATTGTTCACAAAACCCCCCTCTGAAAGCATTCTATTTTGCGCTCCTCCTTCGTCTCGGTGTGTTAAAAGTAAATAACTCGCTGGGAAGGAAAGGACCACAGGTTTCTGTGTATTGTTCAAAATTAAACGAATAGGCGTGAGTAGTATAGCTAGGAGAGTTCTAGACCACTTACCCGCAGTCGGTAATGTAGATTCCTACATTATCATAAGTTGCCCAAATAAAAGTCGGTTGGTAGTAGGTGTCCTACCTTACCGACCGAGTTAGTTCAGGCTGCCACCACTAGATGGCGCCACTATTTTTTTTAATTAGCCAAGTTAAAGTCGCTTGGGAATGGGGATTTTTGAATTTCGCGCCCAATTTATCGACCGAGTTAGTTCGGGCTGCCTCCGCAAGATGGCGCCACTAAATTTTTATCAACCAAGTTAAAGTCGCTTGGGAATGGGGATTTTTGAATTTCGCGCCCAATTTACCGACCGAGTTAGTTCGGGCTGCCACCACTAGATGGCGCCACTATTTTTTTTAATTAGCCAAGTTAAAGTCGCTTGGGAATGGGGATTTTTGAATTTCGCGCCCAATTTATCGACCCAGTTAGTTCGGGCTGCCTCCGCAAGATGGCGCGAATAAATTTTATTGGCTAATTTCCTGCCTTTTGTGAATGGGTACAAATGCTTGGACAAGTTTAAATTGCTGGGGAGTAGGGTTGAAATTTTTAGATCCAATTTACTGACTATGTTATTACCAGCAGTTGTCTCTTTTTTAGCGTTAAAGTTATACTTGCCTGGTGAAGGGTTAGGGTGAAATCACATGGCGGCGTCAAACGTCATCCAGAAATTCATGAGTGCAAGAGTAGCAGGAACATAGGTTATCTTTTTCTCTCATGAATTTCCGGTTGACGTTTGACGCCGCCATGTGATTTCACCCTTACTTCTTAAAATTCCACTCTAGTGTCAATAACTGTTTACCTACCCATCGCTGGTCACATTGCATGTAAACCCGGCAAGTTCAGATTAGAAATAGCATATATATGTGAAAGTGTACACTTTTTGTTAGAGTTGTGAACACTTTTAACAATTTTGTTTAATATACAAGTTTCCATATGTATCAGAAGAAGAGAGAGAGATGTGAGCAGAAACAGTGTGTGCAAATGAGTGTTGTGATATATAATTTCAACTATCCAAAAACTGTTTGTAATAATAGTATTGCTCCCACCAAATGTTTTTCCACAATTAGAACAATACGAGAAAGAAAGAAAGAAAGAAAGAAAGAAAGAAAGAGCAAAGTATATACTTTTCATGCTGTTTATTTCCTGAAGAAGATTGTGTTTAGACCCTAAAGGTCACACTGACAATTGTACACATTATTGTTACCAGTGTATTTGATGAGTAAAGGACATGTAATAAACAAGTTTGTTTCCGTGAAGACACCGTTGAAAATGAATTTCAAACGACCAAAAAGAAATTTTAAAGGATTTAAAATTAAGGTAGGTTAAACTTTACTATCTATCATGTTGATTATACACTCTTAGTACAAAATAAAGTGCAATTTTACTACGCTTAAAAATGTGTTACTATATCCAAAGATGTAAATAAATCCTAATAAGTGTTCTATTGTACAAGCTCAAAGTAAAAGAAAAATTATAAATGGGTAAATTTATTATATCTTAAAATCTAAAAAAAAAAACATAACCTCTTTCTCTATAAATAAGTGAAATTTTTACACATTTAAAGAAAAAAAATGTTGAACCTAGGAATTTATGGAAATATTTTTATTTACAATAAACCGAAAACCATTTATATTTTTAACAAAGTTTGTTTATTTTAAAATTTAATTTTGAGGAAATAAAACGCTGTCTATCTCAAATACAAATTGACAACCGTGCAAAATTATCCTTTAATCAATGTCATTTTTCTTTGGAGTGCGTCTTATTTATCAAAAGAAATTGCACATTTATTTTTTTACTATATCTTCATTAATTTTAATTCAGACTTTACCCAACGGCAAGATGATGAGGTTCACAAGGTGGGATTTTCCTCGTTATATCCCATACGTTCCGGAAACTAATGTTAGAAGAAAATTCACAAGATGGGATTTAAATGTTCCAAGAAAATCAATAGCCATATCACCAGACGTTCCACCACCAAGTCCTTACATACCAGGATTTGTAGAAGAATCCTTATTACATTTTTATCCTGAGGAAGATGTTAATTCAGATAGTAAAGAGAGGTGCTCAATGGAACAAGAAATCAATCATCTTCAGAGTCCAGATAAAAATGAAAATGTGGAACTTCAAAAACATAATTTACTGAATATTAGCGAAATTCTAGAAACTATAGCAGATCAAGAACAATATTTAGTGGATATTGACGAAATTCTTCAACAGAGTTTTGTAAGCGAGGAAAATACGGCTAATCAAGAACAATATTTAGTAGATATTGATGAAATACTTCGTCAGAGTTTTGTAACTGAGGAAAATACAGCAGACCAAGAACAATATTTAGCGAATATTAGCGAAATTCTGGAGAGTCTAAGAAAAGTAGAATGTACAGCAAATAAAGTACAATATTTAGCGGATATTGATGAAATTCCTCTTCAGAGTTTGGTAAACGAGGAAGATAACAGATCTGGGCATTGAAATTACAACTGCTTTGTCAAATTCCTAAAGCCCAATTAATATTTAACTTAAAAAATTCTCGTAAGTTTTTAATATAAAAAAGGTATGTCATATAACCATTTAATATATGAATTCATTGTTACCAAAAACAAAAGTTACTTTTAATCGCTTCTGCAAGAAGACTTTAGTGTTGTGTGTGTGTGTGTGTGCGCAAAATTGAAAACAATTTTATTTTGTAAAATGCTTAGGAAACTATTGTTTTAACATAAAAGAAACAAAACGTTATTTTTTTATTTGCTTCTGCAAGAAGGCTTAAGTGTTGTGTGTGCACAAAATTAAAAACTTTATTTTTCTTGAGAAGTTATTGTTCTTAACCTAGAAAAAAAAACAAATGTTACTTTTTTTTCTGCAAGAAAGGCTTGAATGTTGTGCATGAGTTTTCCTATTATTTTTCTTGAGAAGTTATTGTTCTTAACCTAGAAAAAAAACAAATGTTACTTTTTTTCTGCAAGAAAGGCTTGAATGTTGTGCATGAGTTTTCCTCTTATTTTTAAAAATAGGTCTATTTTGAGACATTAAGATAACTATTTTTTGTTAATTCTTCCGTACTAAAAAGAAAGATTAAGTTTATTTTTTACTCCTAAAAGGCTTGTGAGTAATGTATGCACAAATCTGAATATTCTCAAAGTAGTTAGTCTTTTTTTTCAATGTTTAAAATATTTTTTTTATTTTGTAGAATTGTGTTTTTATTTATTTATTTTAATTTTTCTTGATCATCCTATTATTAAAATTTCTGAACTTAGTTGTGTTTTTATTTATTTATTTTAATTTTTCTTGATCATCCTATTATTAAAATTTCTGAACTTAGTTGTGTTTTTATTTATTTTAATTTTTCTTGATCATCCTATTATTAAAATTTCTGAACTTAGTTGTGTTTTTATTTATTTTAATTTTTCTTGATCATCCTATTATTAAAATTTCTGAACTTAGTTGTGTTTTTTATTTATTTTAATTTTTCTTGATCATCCTATTATTAAAATTTCTGAATTAGTTGTGTCAGACTTTGTAAATTTAAAATTTAATGTGTATTTTATTAGTTCGAATAAGAGTGTGCGCTTAGACAGAAGTGGGAGGGGCCCGCTGCGGTGTATAAATTTGAGGAGCGTGAGTTACGAGGACGCACTACTTTTACAGATTTCGAGGTTAACACTTTAAGCATTTCTCTATTTAAATTATATTTCAGAAATAAAAAAAAAAAAAAAAAAAAAATGGAAAACGAACATAACCGACCGTCAATTGAAATTCGTATAAAAATATACGACGAACAATACGACAGTGAAGGAAACAGTATTGTTTCTAGTAGTGACAGTGAAGCCACTACTGTTATATTCACCAATGAAGATCAGGGTAACAATATTCCAGTATATGATGATGACGATATATTAGAAAATAATATTAGCGATGAAGAGGTAGCTTAAATATTAAATTAAATATTAACTTAAATATTTTGTATATAAAATTTTATTAAATTATTTATAATTGATTTTTTTTTCAGATTTCAGAAATGGATGCATTACTACAATCCCCAGATTTACCAGCTACGGAGGAAACCTTTAATAATGAATATCACCACGGTTATATGGAGAATCAAGATGTTGAAGTTGATGACGATGTATTGATAATCGATGAAACCTTTAATAATGAATATCACCACGGTTATATGGAGAATCAAGATGTTGAAGTTGATGACGATGTATTGATAATCGATATTAGCGATGAGGAAGTACGTATTTATTTATTTATTATATTAATTTATGTATACACATATACTTATTTACTCATATGCCTACTTTTTTTCAGGTTTCTGAAATATTAGAAAATCCTCTAGACAACGAGATTGACATGTCACCGGAGCCTCCCCAAACACCATCTCCAATTCTATCTGAATCATCAGATATTTTCACTGATTTCAATGGTAAAAGATACCGACACAGGTCACAATCCCCTTAGTTTATTTACTAAATACTTTTAAAAACTGTTACTAATGTAATAATAACAGTAGAAAAAAGATGTAATTTTTAACATCTCTTAAAGAATTAAAGTTTTTTTTTCCTTTCAGCATTTGTTTTTTCAGGTGATTATTCTAGGATTTCATATTTTTAGCATTTCTTTTAGTTTTTTTTTGTTTCATCTTTTCTTGCAGCTTGTTCTAGAATTTCAGTTTTTCTTTCAGGTTTTTTTTTGTTTTCAACCTTTCATGCAGCTTCTGTTCTAGAATTTCATTTTTTTTTTTTTCAGGTTTTTTTGTTTTCAGGCTTTCTTGCAACTTTCCTTCTAGAATTTCAGTTTATGTTTTCAGCCTTTCATGCAGCTTCTGTTCTAGAATTTCATTTTTTTTTTTTGTTTTCAGGTTTTTTATGTTTTCAGCCTTTCATGCAGCTTCTGTTCTAGAATTTCATTTTTTTTTCAGGTTTTTTTTGTTTTCAGGCTTTCTTGCAACTTTCCTTCTAGAATTTCAGTTTCTGTTTCAGGTTTTTTTTTCGTTTTCAGCCTTTCATGCAGCTTCTGTTCTAGAATTTCATTTTTTTTTTTCAGTTTTTTTTTTTGTTTTCAGGCTTTCTTGCAACTTTCCTTCTAGAATTTCAGTTTCTGTTTCAGGTTTTTTTTTTCGTTTTCAGCCTTTCTTGCAGCTTCTGTTCTAGAATTTCATTTTTTTTTTTTTTTTGTTTTCAGGTTTTTTATGTTTTCAGCCTTTCATGCAGCTTCTGTTCTAGAATTTCATTTTTTTTTTCAGGTTTTTTTTGTTTTCAGGCTTTCTTGCAACTTTCCTTCTAGAATTTCAGTTTCTGTTTCAGGTTTTTTTTTCGTTTTCAGCCTTTCATGCAGCTTCTGTTCTAGAATTTCATTTTTTTTTCAGTTTTTTTTTGTTTTCAGGCTTTCTTGCAACTTTCCTTCTAGAATTTCAGTTTCTGTTTCAGGTTTTTTTTCGTTTTCAGCCTTTCTTGCAGCTTCTGTTCTAGAATTTCAAGATTCTATAAAATTTTTTAGAATTTTAGCTTTTCTCAAAGAATTTTTTTAGCTTTTTTTTCTCAAATTTCTTATTAGGTTTTTTTTTTCAGTTGGCTATCCTCGATTATTTTCTCAAAGAATTTTTTTTAGCTTTTTTCTCAGATTTCTTATTAGGTTTTTTTTTTCAGTTGGCTATCCTCGATTATTTTCTTTGAGTTATTCTTATAGAATTTTAGCTTTTTATTTCATAATTTTGTTATTAGATTGGCATCCAGGATTTTTAATTTTTTTTCTACTCTTTTATTTCAGTTTCAGATTTTTTTTTACTAAGATTTCAAAAAAATTTTTTTTTCTACTCGTCTCTTATTTCAGTTTTAGTTAATTTTTTCTTTTTTTATTTTTTTTTTTACTAAGATTTCTGATTTAATCCTTCTCTTAAGGACAGGTCCAAGTCGTTCAGATTTTTTGCATGGAGCTTCAATGGAAAAATCGGAACGACTTGGACCTGCCCTTAAACTCCTTTCACATTGGCTTTTTATTGAGAAATTTAAATTACATGTTATGATTTTTTTCAGATAAAAGAAAAATGGAAAAATCACTTTCTCATTCCTATTATGATGATGATGATGACAGTAATGATGGAGCGGAAAGGACGTTCATCTTAATTTTTGAGAGTGATGAAGATGATTATGATAGTGAAGGGTCCACTATATCTGAAAGCTCTGATGATAGTGAGGTTGATAGTGAGATTGATAGTGAGGATGATGATGATGATGTATCCCTCATTGTCAGTCGGATTATTGTTATTACAGGGGTAATGAATTTTACAACATTGACATTTTTATAATAATAATAATAAGAATAATAATAATAATAATAATAATAATAATAATAATAATAATTTTTCAGGTGGATTTGTTACAACTCCCCTCCGAGTCATCAGTTACAACAGATTCTAAAAAATAAAATTCATATATAGATTTAATTAATAAATAATCTTTTTCAACACTAATTGCTTTATGTAATTGTATAAGAGTGCGTTTGTTTCTATGTTAATAAAGAGGGACTTAGTAATATCATATAGGAATTGCGCGCGCATATTAGGAACTTCACAAATTAGCGCACATTATAGTGGTGGGGTTAAGGAGAAAAGTGGGGGCTAGTGGTGATATAAGGCGACTCTTGAGCCGCAAGTGACATTCTCTTCTTCAGATCCCCAAGTAACAGTAAGTATAAATTTCTTTGTTACAGATCCTTTATTTTCAGGTTTTATTTTCAGGTTCTATTTTCTGGTTTTTTTTCAGGTTTTATTTTCAGCTTTTATTTTCAGCATTTGCTTTCAGGTTTTCTTTTCAGCATTTATTTTCAGCATTTATTTTCAGCATTTATTTACAGGTTTTCAGAGCATTTAATATATTTTTTTTTTCTTTATCTTTCTGTTTTAGGTTTTATCAAAAAAAAAGAAAAAAAAAATGGATTTAGAAAAAGTAAATGCTGTTGGACGTATGGAATGTACTCTGCCAACGAAGCCTCTTTCCGAATTGGTTGCAAAGGGTCGCTACATGATCAATAAACTTACAAAAGTGCAGACACGGTTTGGATCAAGAATCATGACTGAAGTTGATAATGAATTTATCACTTTCCTGCCAGCTAGATTTGTGAAATTTTTCGAGGATGAGCCAAACACCCTTGAGATGATGCAAGAAGCTGCAAGTTCAAACAAGTTGTACATGAAGTACTTGGGAGGAACATACAACGCCTTGGAATTTAAATTTAAATAAACTTAAATGATTTTTACAATTATATTTGTAAAAAAAAAAGCATTTTGACATCAATAAAAGAAATAATTTTATTTAAAAATTGGTTTCAAATTTATTTAATTCCCTGAATTAGTTTTAAGTTTTATTTTAAGGAATTAGTTTTAAATTTTATTTTCAGGAATTAGTTTTCAGCTTTATTATTTTCAGCAATAAATTTTATTTTTCAGGCGCTATAAAATAATAATAATTATATTTAAGGGTAGGTTTTGTAATTAAAAAAAGAGATATTAAGTAAATTTAAATTACTGTTTATTGTTTAAACAACTTTAAAATTTTACAAAAAAGATTCACAATTTTCATAGAATGCTTTCAGCGTAGAATCAACTTCTTCAATACCTTTAGCAACAACACTTATATATTGGTTTGGAGGTTCCAAAAACCAATCACGAAGAATTTTTACATTTCTCACAGCACAGTTTTCATTATGAAGCGTATGATGAGTACATGTAGTTATCATTTGAGACTTAATTTTTTTCAACGATGGACAATCAAAGTCTTCTAAATTTTGTACATTCAATAGATATTTCTCGAACCACGTTTTTTTCTCTAAGCCCTTAACGTAGATGACACTAGCACCTCGTAGTACATCTTGTAGAATTAAACGAAGTTCATCGTAAGAGACGTCTCCAGCAGTCCAGTGGATTCCATGGTAATTATGTGTTAGCCAAAGATTTTCACTTTTGTAGCGTCCTGGCAACGATTCCCACGTACAAGGAGGTTCGAATAGGTAGACGAGAGGCTGTGCGTCTGCTTGAAGTGGTAATATTGCCAACTCTTTAAAAACAAAATCGTTGTAGGGTCTTTTAAAACCTTGGACGTCTACGATGAACTCCATCCTGAAACAGAAATGAATTTCTGCCCCAAAGTAACTGCTTTTATACCTGCGATTACCCCACCACTTTTACATAACCCCTACTCCTTTACAGCAACTTCTTCACAACGCCGCTGATTGGTTTGTATTGCACAACACGGTCGTGAATAATGAGGCAATAGGCAGTGGTCTCAGCTGGCATGTTGATTCCTGCTTCAAATTCTAAACGCACGTCAACTGATGCCTGCTTCAAAAACTCATTTTGCTTTGAACAATCAATGACAATTAGAGGGAATAAGCTTTTAAAAATATCCTTTGTTAAGAGAGGCTTAGAATCTTTTCCATAATATGAAGTTTGGAAATTTGCATACATTTCGTAAAGTAGGGCATACTGATTTTGATCAAAGTTTAAATTTAAATTTCCATATGGGTAATACTGTGAATTCAAAAAGAGTTTAACGTTTGTAATGTTGCAATGATCAAAATGACAGGCATATTTTTTCTGTTTATCTTTTCTAGCTGTTTGAAATCCAACAATTACATAACGTGGTTTTTCCAACTGAGTTGAAGTTTTAATTTGCCACATGACTTTTGAACTTAATGGAATTAAAGGATACTCATACATTTCCCATGACCGAAAACTCATTGAAATTAAAGGATCTTTTTCAATAAATTTTAATAATTTCACTTTATTATTATCAGCGGGTAAAACGTATGGAACCATCCATTCAATTTTATTGATTGAAATTTTAAATTGTTCATTTTCTCCTTGTCCTGTTTGAAATATTGCATTCATATCATTACGTGCTCTTGTTAAAATGAGTTCATGTTTAGCATTTATAATAATTTTTTTATAGTCTTCAGCGAATCCGAAAATCATGCCAAGTGGTATAGTAACATCAAAATATCCATTTTCTAATGTAATTCTTGCGTCCGCTGTAATTTTAGAAAATCCAGCATTTTCAATGAAATTCAGCTGCGGAGGCGTTACAGAAACATAATTTTTCATAATGGTTGTATGTCCAACGTATTTGCATCGGTCAATCTCAATACCATTTAATTCATAGCGAATTTCATCAAATAAAAAACATACAGCGTTGCTACTCAAGTGCACAGTTTCCGTAAGTGTAATTCCATCGGTCCTTGTCAATCTTCCAAATACATGCAATGAACTTTTACTTGGTAAAATACACAAGTCTTGATGTTGTACTGCAATTCGAATTTCATCGCTATTGTTAAAAGATGAAGAAGCATACGGTTGATGAGCATGAATTTCATAATGAGCTATAGACTCATCAAAATTCACTGCTGCTGGAATGTTGAGAATTTCGTCCATTTTTATTACAGCAACACCCCAAAAATATGTAGATTAATTGTCTTGTCGTTTTCTCTTTCCTTGAGTTATAACTTTTAGACCTAATTTTTTTAGGAATAGGCGATTCTGAGGTGTTAACACCTTGTGAGACAAATCTCGACTGATTTGCTTCTTGCATGGTGATTGACTTTTATAGTTTCCACCAACTTTTTGATTATATACAATTCCCATTACATTGACTTTATGTGCAATCGGATTGTTATAGTTTCTCCTCGAAAATTAATCAAATCACCGTCCTGATCGACAATGCGGAGTTGAATATTATGTATTGTCTTGACAACAATCGGAAGGTAAATGACGTGTGCTGGCACTTCCACAATCTTATATCCTGGTGGAACGCTAGGGAAGAATTCATGGATGGTGTGGGCTTTTTGATTATTTATATATGCTCCAGATGTAATGCTACACTCAACTCTGACTGAATTTATCTTGAGAATTGCTACAGGTAAATCAGAGATGTGTGTTTCATTAGGTGATAATTTACGCGGCATAAATCCCAATAATTTACCAATTGAATCTTTATGTTTAAAATCAATTGGTAAATTTGATTCAACTAAACTGCGTAATGTATTGTTATTAGGTTTTATACTAATAACAGTTCCAAGTTTTACTGAATTTTTTATACATGTTTCAATATCTGTAATTTCATAACTTCCAGTTGGTATATCAATTATATGATTACCAATGTAAAATTTATTGTTACCTTCATCAATATTGGGAATAGAATTAAAAGTCAGTAATTCAACAAGACCGAGGACATAATTTTTATTTGGATTAAGTTCTATTGGTGGGAAATATTCAGCTTCAAGAACTGAACTGTTTCCACTTAGTGTTAAAGTAAACGAATCACTCATGATGCTGTCAGTTTATATACTAAAAGATTACAAAAGTTACATGTTCTTATATAGACTAAAGCTGCTCTTAACATTAAGTTGTTTACATAAAAATTTTAAACATAAATGTCCACACACATAAGTATCATAACTTTGATATCTCTCATGATTATATTTTATTAAGCTACCATCACCCAAGTATGTGATTAGATCTGTTGGTGGAGGAAGGTTGCCAAAACTATCAAAATACATTATTTCGTTATTACATTTTTTATATGCCACCCAATGTGTTCCTGGGCCTTCTTTATTATCCAAGTTAATAATTCCCGACTCATATCGATAAGGTCCTTTAAAAGGTAGTTCATTTCGCATAAAAACTCCTCGAAAATATGGTATTTTCATAGTTTTAGCATATTTCAACAGATCAAAATCAGTTAGAGGACGGTGAGGTAGCTTCAATGCAAGTTTTTTTTCTTCCTTAATGTTGGTTTCTTCCTTAATGTTGGTTTCTTCTTCTTTTTTAATCCTTTCCCCTGAATGTATGGTTTAATATGAAGACCAAGTCCTTGTCGGTAGGGTTTGAGATGTAATCCTTTTCCAAGAGATATTGCTTCCATTGCTTTATTATGTCGTTGAGCTTCAACAAGTTGTTCCTTGGCAGTTTTAGCCTTATTTACAGCTTTCACTATACCTGAAGCTCCACCAGCAAGAGCTCCCAAAGCACTAAGTCCAGCAAAAATGGGAACTAGTGGTAAAATACCACCAACTTTAGAAGGTACAGGTAGAATTCGCGGTGACAAAATTTTTGATTTACCACCAGCATTCTTTATTGCTTCTTTTGCACCAATCAGAGCAGCTTGAATTGATTCTCCAGAATTATGATTGGGTAGCATACTTTTTCTAGCAGCATCAACAACTCTTCTTAATGCTAGTCGCTTTTTCTTACACATGGTTTTTCTTTTCTTCTTCATTGTAGACTTTTTCTTCCTTTTCATTCCCATACCTAATGTTGATTTAGCTTTCATCGTTCCAGATATCGCTAAAGCTGCTGCCTTTTCACTAATACTAGAATCCTTAGATGTAACACGTTGCCACGCCTTTTCAGCTAGCTCTTGGTCTGCAACGTTTCTTGCTTTAATGTTTTCTCGATTTTGCGAATATGCAATATCATGTGCTTTACATGCAGCGTCTAATGGGTTAACACCTTTATCACCACGTGCTAATCTTTTTGTCAACTTTGTACCGGGTCCACAGAATTGGTATCCAGGTAAATGTAATTCAAAAGGTAAACTATTGATAATACGGTTAACTAATCCTCTACCACGACAAAGATGTTTTTTATCACTTCGATGTAAAATCATTCTACACTCTATGAAGTTTGATGTGCAACTGACTGTAAGACTATAAAAGCCGAGTATTTATAGTTTACAGAGCAGTTACTGTCAAGATGCAGTTCACGAAACAACCTGTAGCACTCCCAATCACAAGTATTGACGTTGAAACTAGTGAGAAAAAAGTTCAACGTCATGGTAGTTTGTTTTCAGATAGCATCCGAGCTGTCTTTTGTGGTCCCTCAAATTGTGGTAAAACAAACGCTCTTCTCTCTTTAATCATACATCCAAATGGTTTAAGTTTTGAAAATATTTACCTATACTCTAAATCTCTGCAGCAGCCAAAATATCAATTTTTGAAAAATGTAATTCATGGCGTGGATGGAATTGAATACTTTCCATTTAGTGAGCATGAAGAAGTAGTATCTCCAAAAGATGCTAAACCAAACTCAATATTCATCTTTGATGATATTGCTTGTGAAAAGCAAGACAATGTTAGAGCTTTCTTTTGTATGGGTAGACATGTAAATGTTGACAGTTTTTACTTGTGTCAAACGTATGCTCGTATTCCAAAACATTTGGTGCGAGATAATGTAAATTTACTGGTGCTTTTCAGACAAGATGAAAAAAATTTAAAACATGTCTATGAAGATCATGTAAATACAGACATGTCTTATACTCAATTTCGTGATTTATGTTCAGAATGTTGGAAATCTGATAAATATGGATTTGTCGTTATTGATAAAGATAGGAATTTTAATGAGGGAAGATATAGAAAGGGATTTGATTGCTTTATTACACTATAAATATAAGGACTTTATTTCATTTTAAATTAGTATAGTTTATGTTATCAAGACGAAAACATGTATCGAAAAGAGCAAGAAACACTTCGTCAAATAGCAAAAGCAAGCGACGCTATTAGACGAAAACATCGCTTACTTAAGATGGGTAAAGAGGCTGCAGAGACATTGTTAAAAGAAACTCTGCAACCAATAGTTACACCTCTTCAAAAGTTGGCAAATGTAACTGAAACTCCTTTCAAAAATGTTAAAATTGAAAAATTCAAGAAAGATGATAATGATTTCTCTTTTTCAACTGCTGTTGACGATGATGAAGAATTTGATAAAACTTTACTAAATTCAACTTTACTTGATAAGAGCAATAACTTTGAAAAAGAAGAAGAAGAAGAAGAAGAAGATTATAAAAAAATTACAAATAAATTTATTTTTATGTTAGATAAAAATAGAAAACTGTTTTTAGATACGGTTTATGGAGTACGTAAACTTGCCAACGGTTCTTTTATGATTGGTGATACACCTATTGAATTTGAAGGTTCACATATTAAGCTTGTTGGAAAGAAAAATTATTTAAAAACTGCTGGGTTACTCGAACTATTATTTAAACAAAAACCAAAAGAAGCTTTAATAAGTTCAGATGATTTTTCAAATTATAAAGAAATTCTCATTGCTACGAATGCACATCGAAAAAATTATAGTCCAAGTGAATCTGTCAACATAAGTAGAACTTCCAAGTACACTGATGTTATTGCAAAACTTATCAAAAGTACACCAAAGAAAAGTGGTGGTGGTTCTTTAAAGAAGCATAAAAATATATTACCACAATTCATGATTGCAAAAAGACAATTTAATCCAGACTACATCTATTGGGATGATCCAAATGAACTCGTTGACCGTTTACGACTACTCATAGGATCACAGCAAGCTGGTAATCCAAGTCATAATAATGAGATTATGTCAATTATCGAAGAACTGCGTGAAGCTCGAATTATATATTAAGAGAGAGCACATAGAATAATTGCTTAGTATTACAATGAGCATTGATGTGTTCGGACATTCTTTAACACGACCTGTTGCAAGTCGTGGACTACCTGGACCTTCTGGTATTGGATTTAAAGTTACTCCAAGTGGAGATTACAATATTGAAGGCAAAAGACTTTGTAACGTTCAAGACGCTGAAGAGCTGCATGATGCAGTAAATTTACGACTTGTACAACAAATTATCCGAAACGAGATAAAAACTATTTTTCAAATTACATCTTCTTTAAGATCAGCCATTGATGATTTGAATATTTTAATACAAGTTGTTGAAGATAGAGTTAACGAAAAACTAAAACAAATTGAATTCCAACAGAATATTATTATCAAGGAAACTACATTTATTCCAAATGATGAATGATAAAAAGTTAACAGTTGTAACTGAACTGCATAAACAAGCGAGAAGGAATTATCCTCGTCGTAAAGTTCAAATGCGTGGCATAGATGAAACCTGGCAAGCAGATTTGGTAGAAATGATACCTTACTCCTATTCCAATAAAGGTTTCAAATACATGCTCACAGTAATAGACATATTTTCCAAATATGCCTGGGCTGTACCTGTAAAAAGTAAAAATGGAAAAGATATTTCTTTAGCCATGAAATTGATATTAAAAGAAGGTCGTATTCCAAAAAATTTACACACTGATAGAGGCAAGGAATTTTATAACTCTGAATTTCAGAGTTTAATGCAAGAATTTAATATTAATCTCTATTCGACTTATAGTAATTTAAAAGCATCAATTGTTGAAAGGTTTAACCGCACTCTAAAAAATATGATGTGGCCTGAATTCAATTTACAAGGCAATTACAAATGGATTAATCTTTTACCAATTCTCATATCAAAGTACAATAATAAAAAACATCGTACGATTGGTATGAAACCTAAAGATGTCACCGTAGAAGATACAAGAGAATTGCTGAGACGTATCCGTAAACTAAGAAGAATTCCGCTAAGAAGACCA